CCTGTAAATTATAATTAAAAATAAGTTACAACCTCCACAGGCAGGAGTACTTAAAGTATGTGGTAAGTTTACGTTCAATTTTGAACTCGTCGAGTATTATTTTGGTAGGCAAAAATCAGGGCTTTGGATAAATAATACATAATAGGGAGCTGAAATACATATTCGAATTTTAATCGACGTTATATTATTTCAAATTATTTATGAGTTACCTTAAAACGATAATCATAAAATGCTAACCAAAATTCCATAATTCGATCGTGGAAAACTAATATGGAAAATGAACTTATTTTGCAAAATTCAAGAAAACTGTGGCCAGAAATCGAGGCGGCCAAATTCTAGTCCAAAATAATTTTTAAAATTATTTTCGGTCATATTTAAATAAACCAAATTTGTACGAGTTTGAGACAAAACTCATAATTTGCAAAAAATCGCACATATTTATTACCTTAGATCTCAAAAACCACCAATGGACCATCGCAAGATTATTACGGGTTCTTCATGTACACAAAATTACGCAAATTTAAGCTATTAAACTTGAAAATCGATCTCATTTATCTCACGATAAATGAGACACGATCTCATATATACCTATGTATCTTAATAACAAATCTGCGAGGCTGTTTGGCATAGCTTGTCTTACATAAAATAAGTTAGAAAAATGTAAGGACTTTTGTCTCTCTGTTTTCAGAGAAAAATTGTTTCAAATTAATTATTGATCTAGCATCCTCGCTGGCTATGGTCGTCTTCTTGACGTGTAGTTGAACGTTTCTTTTCACCTACTGCAAACTTTTGGGAGGCTGCGTTCACGGCATCCTCCTGCCCGTTGCAGCACCACCAGCCCTACCCTTCCCTCGAAATCGACCAGAAATTCGCCCTTCTTCCTCACCAGCTGCAATTCCCCACAGCTACTCAAATTCTTCTCGTTCACGCTCCGCTACGAACACTTTTTCCCCACATTTCGTCCCAAGTACTTAATGTCGCCATTCCGACCGTCTAACATACATCGAGAAGGGCACGACCTAGCTAATCCTAATTGACACCGTCCATCAGAACCACCCTCCAATCGATCACCACTGGCCTTCCACACGTAAGGTGTGTCCAGGAATAAATGGTTCCGCGCTTAATGACCTATACATTACGACCTGGTTATTGATATTTATAAAGCCTTTCGTAAATTGTAGGTAGGAACCATACATGTAAGTTTTTGCTTCGAAGGATTTTTCTGACTTCATTGTTTGTCACCAATCCGACTTTCCGTACCAACCCTCAAATTACCAATTTTCAACCCGATTGCGAAATGTCTTGTCCGACTATTTGGCGTTAACGTTCGAATTCTTCCAGCTTTTTCGTCTTGAAGTAAACGTTAGAGTATCTTCCTTTGCACAAGGCCCAAAACTTTTAGATTTCTCGCATATAAGGAGATTTGTAGAGTCCGCTGTTTTAAGCATATCTTTCTCAATGTTATACGTCGCATGATTAACTAGGAATTTTACGGGGAATTTAGTTTTTACGTGCAAGTTTTGTTGATAATCTACACTGGCAAGGCTGCCTGCGTGAAAAAATGTGCTTTCCGAAGTCTTTGAGGGGTCAGGGACGACGTGGGTCTCATCATCATTGATGATAATTTTTAATGACATTTGTTGATATAATTTTTTGTAACATTTTTGGATTGTACTTTTTTGGTCTTTAACGTACTTTGTGAGACGTTGTTTATTTTTTTCTGTAATTCCCGGTTCATGAACTTTAATGCTGCGGAACAAACTTTTTGAAATTTGCAGTAGCCGACCAGCCCCACGATTTGACGTGGAAGAGTTATTGCTGAAGAGTTTTTTAATGTCTTTCGAGATTTGGCGGGTGGCTATGACAAGAGATGGTCTGGAATGTTTTTTGAATTCCACTTTTTGTTATCCTCATACATCGAAATATGAAGATAGATTGTCGTTTCGTGACATGTTTCCGTTTTGGTGTACTGCCACGAATTGTTCGAATAACGAAAAGCGACTATTTCGCTGTTGTGAAAAACTCGATTCGCGAGGTTTTCACTTTCATGGTGATTGCTACTAAATTTCATTATTTTAACCAAAAATGCTTTGTATTCTCTGGGGGCCCATGTAATTACGTTTCGAAAAATAAAAATGAAAAATAGGAATCTACACAAACTGCGCAGTGTAAGTACACATTACTCGGAACCATTTATTCCTGGACAAGTTATACATTGTGCAGCGTTTTTTTCCAATAATATTTATTTGCGTAGTTATTTACATATTTATTTACAGACGTGCTTACGTATTTATACAGCCATTTACATAATTACATATTTATTTACATACATATGTATTGATTTGCATATTGACAAATTTAATTATAGACTTAAATTTTACGTATTTATTTATATACTTGCACACATATTCACACATTTAATATTTACATACTGCTTGTCGCGACAGTTTTAATGACGACCACCGTCTAAATATGACCACGACACACCCCAGTCGCCAAACGCCAGCGTCTAGGGCCGTAGCGTGATATATTCAAAATAAATATGCTGAACCTGAACGTGAACTTGAATATGAACGTTATATATTCTTGCCGCTAATGGTCATTTGGTTTGCCGCGGGAAACGGATCGGGTACCCGTTACCGCATACACGCACGAATTCTTTCGGGTACCCGTTATCTGCGGGTAGCGAGAACTAACCGCACGGGTAAAGGGTAGTTTAGTTTTTTTTTAATTTTCGATATAAATCAGTTCAGAAAGAAAGTTAGCATCAAGTTAGTCCATTTAACAACAAAAGCGTCAATTTATTATTCTTCCATTTCAAAATTTGTCATTTGCCACCAATAAGCGTTTATAACGAGCGTGTCTTTGCAGAATCCACAGGAGCCTATGCCTGCCGCAAATACTTTTCACGTCCAGAAAATGTGGAGCAATAATTGTTTCTCAAAGATAGTTTGCCTGCTCTAGAATATCCGTAATAATTTCACTGGTATTTCACTTAACAATTTTGCTAAATGAAAACTTCATTTAAATAAAAATTTGAAAATAAATCAAACTAAAAATTGAACATTTTTCAAGGTATAGCAAGATTGCCAAGCGGGGGTATCAAAAAGTCAGGACAAAAATTAGGAATCGCATGATACTAATCTTTCCGCTGAATGACCCCTTCGAAGAAAATTAAATATTTTGTATCTTTTTCCTCGACTGGAAGAAATCCATGGTGAACTTTAACTCTGGCACCGAAATAGTTTCCTTTAAACTAGCCATTCAGCAGTAATATAAGTGCCATGTAATTCTTACTTTTAGGCTTAATTTTTGCATATACATAAATCGCTAAGAAATACCGGCATAGCTTGAAAAACGACCTAATTGTAAGTAAAAAGTTTGGTTTCAGAAATAACGAGTAGAGGTGAGCCGGGCCTGGACTTTTCAAAGCCCGGCCCGCCCAAGCTCGGTTCAAAAGCCCATCTCAAAAGCCCAGGCCCGCCCAGGCCCAGAAAAATTAAGCCCAGGCCCGCCCAAGCCCATTGGGCTTTTTGTGAAAAAAGCCCGCCCAGGCCCAGGCCCATCGGGCTACCCATTGGGCTTTTTGTCAAGGCTAGGTGTAAATGAATGATTACCAAAAATACCCAGCATTCAAGATAGTTATTGAAGGGCACCCTAAAATTTGGAAAATTAAATTACTTAATAAAATGTAAATTAAAATTAAACCTCTTAAATTAAAACCTCCTGAAAGAGTTGCAATTTTTAATTGATTACAGTAAAATAGATGAGTCAAGCTGTGTAGTATCGGACTAATTCAAGTCCTCTAATCCTAGGTGTAAAATATTTTGAATGTGTATCAAGAAGTGATTACTTTGGTTTTATCATGAACAATAAGGATATGCACATACGTATGTATGTACATATATACTAATGTAATGTAATGTAGAAAGGACCAAGTAACTCTGTTGTATAAGAAAATAACTGATGAATTAAAAAAACATCAAGAACTCTATGTGCACCGGTGTGCTACAATTCTGAATAGTGTCTCATTCACCCCCAAAAAAAATATGAGACGGGCTTGGGCTTTTCCGAAAAAGCCCAAGCCCGGCTGGGCAAAAGCCCGCCCAGGCCCAGCCCAACTAAATTTGGTTCCTCAAAAGCCCAGGCCCGCCCAAGCCCGGTTGCTGACAGGCCCGCCCGCCCAAAGCCCAATGGGCCTGGGCGGGCCCGGGCTAGCCCACTTAAAGCCCAGGCCCGGCTCACTTCTAATAACGAGTGACATCGACGAGCAAATTATGGCATGCGTTACTTGCATCGCATTATCTCAAAGTACATCTGAACCCAAATGAACAAATACATAATTGATCAAATCAAATTTATCCTGGAGTTTGGTTAGTTCTTAACCTAATTCTCACAACGGGTAGCGGGTAATGGGTACCCGTGCGGGTATGGGTAGTTGTGCTACGGGTAGCGGGTCGGGTAGCATTTTCTCTACCCGCGGCAACCCTAGTTAGCAGTACATATTATGTACATTTTTTAAGTTGAAAATGATAATGACAATTTTCTATTAATTAAATGATTACAAATTATCAGAAGTTACAAGCAACCGAAGCACACATAGGGTAAATATTTTCTTAACTTACAAATAATTTTGCCCTGTTAATACTGTTACGCTTTTGGTAAGTAATTGCACTCTAAATTGTACCGTAAATGCTCCATTTATAGTCACGGCGACTTCGCAGACTCGGCTAAAATTTTGACTTGGCTCTTCGTCATCCAAAAGCTAGGTAATCGTTTTACAAAACTCTTCAGCCTATCGCTGACTAATTTTTAACAAACCACACAAAAAACAGTTGCAGGGCTACATAGTAGATAATATTCAAAAATAAAACAATGTTATAAAATCGTCAAAACCCTCAAAAAAAGTTAGCATTCTATTCTGCAGAATGTTAGAATTACGGAATTATTGAAATCCACAATCCCTTTAAAAACATTGATACTATATTTATGTCTGCATGTATTCCATCAAAACGTTTTATTTGAAATTATTCCCTTCTCATCATTTACAAATATCTAACAACTTGAGTTATTTACTCGCTTGTTCCCCTAACGATGACTGTTCCTCTGGCTCCCGGACTGCATATGGCTGGTCTTTGGACATCTAATTAATTTAGGTAGTCGTGAATTAATTAAGGATTCCACATCAGCTGTAAATCTGCTTTACCTTATAAACAGGTCACTTGGTCATCGGTGTGCCTCGTTCATGAAAAGATACGAACCAGCAGTTACCACTAAATGGAAGCAAATCCTGATATAGTTCCAGGCGAAGATTATCACGAAAAAGATCATCATGACGAAAACTATTCCGCTAAACCTGTAACAAGTGAGCACTTATGTGAACAAATCTGTAAATAGTCATATTCAAAATGCATTTGCATACATACTTCAACTTACATATTTACATAGATATGTATTTTCGAAGGTTTGTCAAAAATGTTGAACCATATTTTCATATATGTATGTATGTACCTTACAGATACTTTAAGCTTGTCGAATTACAACTTCGTAAATAAAATCTCTAGAAGAACGTCATGACTCAGGAGGAATAAAATTTATTTAATTTTACACCGATTTCATTTACCAGGTATTTAGTGGGCAATAGTAAATTTTAGTGATTCTGATTGAAATTCTGATAGTAAAAGTATTATATGTATTTATGTAAGTGGAGTCTTATAAATAATGTTACTATTTGAACAGTAAATGCAGGCTGAATTTAAGATTTGTAGCAACTATACAAAATCCAGAGAAACTTTACTCTTTAGCAAGTTAACGTTACGTTGACGTTCCAATAAAATAAGGTAACACTATTTCTAAGAGTGTTGACTCACGTGGTGAGCACAACTTCTTCGTCGTAATAGTAGCAATATTCCTTTGAGCAGGAATCACAGTAAAGCGGACAATCTTCACCGTTTTGGAGCGGTATTTTATTTAATGTCCCCCTCCTGCGCTCCTTAATTGAAGCACATTCCACTCGACATGTCGTCATGACGACGGTACACAAAAAGATTGAGAACTTCATAATTCGCTAGCTGAATGTTTCCTATTTTACGTACCAAATTTATTTTTGAGTATTTATGAAAATTAACATTAGTTAAACTTGGAGATGAATGGTGAGCAGTAGAGAATAAATATTTAAAATGAAGCCCATTTGTTTGCCAAATTATTTGCACGATTTATTTATCTCTCCTGAGGTGTTATGTAGCTGCAAGGCTTATCCTTATCGGGATAAGCGACATAATAAACAATTACGATACTGGACAAATACCTGCACATTGTGAAGGCTCAGTTCTACCGGCGTCTGCTTACGTCAGATTTTGATAACACCATATCATCACTCCTTCCATACGGAATTAATCATTTGCGTATGTAATGGGGTATGCATGATTCCTCGGCATCGTAAAATAAGCAATATATGTAAATAGGTCTTGTATTTGCATATATGTACCTATAGATAGGTAACTACATATAGTTAAATAAGTAATTAAATTCAACATAACTTTGCAAGGATTGTAATGTTTTGTCAAAAAACCTTAACCTTTATACAATACACAAACATTAGGTGTTTTTAAATCTTAACCCATTTGTTTTTCTTCGTAAAGTAAATATGTTATGATACTAAAAAACCCTATTACACCCAATCCAATTAAAGATAACCAACTACCTAAACAACTTCCTGAGCACCTGCATGCAACAAAGAATTCAAAATACTTTCGTCTTCCCGCGCCTCCGTTTCCGACCAAAAATTCCTCTAGGTTCACGTGCTATCCTGCATACAGCGTCCAGACAGATGCACGGACAATGTCTTGATATAAAGTAGCTCATGGTACTTAATCAAATAAGTTCAAACTACGTATACATAAATATTTTGTAAACTTGAATGCTACTTAAAACGTTGGGCTAAATACTTATTTAGTATTTGTGCGGAGTTTACATACAGGGTGGTTTAAATGTCAGGTTACAATTCAAAATTTTTCAAAGGGAAAAATTTGCAAATCTCCACTAATTATCGAAATTTTGCCTCTGAAATTGAATAGCAATTCAATTTAATATTCAATTTAAGAATCTTGCCTTCAGTGTTCCATAAGTTTTGATAATAATTAACAAAAATCTTATTCCGTAACTAATGGAAATTTACGAATTTTTTCCACTGAAAAATTTGCCATTGTAAAATGACATTTAAAGCACTCTGTACGTACTAAAAATTCTGTGATTAGAGGAGAGCCATACCAACTGTTCCACAAACCCTGTTTCCATTTTTAGCAAAAAGCAGAGTGAGAGTTGGACTCTGGTGGGTATCACCACCACCGGCGACTGTCGATGCGACAGTGCCGTATGGTGGTCTGTCTCACTTCTCACTCTCTGCAAATTGTTTACCGGGATTATGAACCAACTCGTGTTGAGATGCTTTTTATCTCTCACACGAGTTGGTTCATCTTTGGAATTCTCCAGTTTTTTAAAATAAAACTAAAAAAGTGGGAGTTTTTTTTATAAAATATTAAAAAAGTGAATCATGGAGGCTCACTCCTCCCTCCCAAGAGAGCAGCCACCTTCACCACCACCCCCAATATCACCCCTGCCACCACCGCCACCCCCAATTTCGACATCACTTCCACCACCACCACCGGATACTACCACACCCACCGAAATAAGCCAAGGTAGGTACCTTTTAAGGTTGAATCTCTGAGAGCAACGGTCAAACGTGTCGAATTTTTTGTCTTGACCGTTTTAGATTGGTCGTGGATTTCAAAAATCGACTTTGTTTTGACTTGTCACGACCGTGTGACCGTGTCGCTTTACCTTTTTGCTACATTTCGATCGTTGTTTGCAACGGATTATTGAAAATGGTATGCTTTAAAAATCAGAGATGGGATAAATATTAAAATTGTTATATTATGTTATATTTTTAAAATTGTCAAAAACTCAGAGATGGGATAGTTTAAGTTGGGGTATATTTTAAAAATTTTCTAAAAAGCCGAGATAGCTTAATTATTTAAATTTTGCAATATTTTTAAAATTTTTAAACAAATAGAGATAGGATAATTATTTAAATTGGACAAGATTCCTGAAATTAAAAAAATCAGAGATGGGATAATTATTTAAATTGGGGAAGATTTTTAAAATTTTCAAAAAATCAGCGATGGGATAATTATTTAACTTGGGCAGGATTTTTTAAATTTTCATAAAATCAGACATAGGGTAATTATTTAAATTTTGCAAGATAATTATTTAAATTAGGGAAGATTTTTAAAATTTTCAAAAAACAGATTGGGTTATTATTAACAGTTGGAAATTTTTACAAAAGTTTTGAATATTCAGAGACAGGTTAATTTTTAAAATTAGAACATGCTAATAAAATTCTATTGGAAGATTCCAATTAGTAAAAACGTTTCAAAGTATGTCAAAAATTCAAGTAGTGGTAATTGTTTTCTTTATAGTACGTCGCTGCGACATTGGACTCTTGATTGCCCACCACCGATGGACTTGTTCTGAAGACGAATCTCGACCTCTAGACAAGATTGTGCAAAGCAGAACTATGCAGTCTGTCAGGCAGTCATTTCCAGGTTTCAATTTCAAACTTATTTTCAGTGATAATTTTTTCTGTGCAAAATGCATTGAGTTTTTTGGACGGCGCCGTGTTCGCACATGTTGTCATCCAAAGCATAACAATAAATACAAAGGCAAAAATGTGAAATACATCACTGCGGAAGATTACTTTACCCAATACAAAGCCCTGGGATTATTACCAAATCAAGCGATATGCAAGGACGCAAAATTCTGCTATGATGATACCCAAGAAATTCAAGATCAAGATTCGGAAGATCCTACCTTTGAAGAACCAGCCTCAAAGAAGAGATTGGTCGAGACGTTAACAAGTATCAAGCAAACAATTTCCCCTTCGGCCCCTGCAATAGCATTGAACAGAAGAAATCTCAAGCAACAAAGTAATCTAGTCACAAGAGAACTTGAGCAAGTAACGAAGACAATCACCACAGGATTCCAAGATGTCGGACTACCAATTCCAGACAAAGAACAACACAATCAAGAACAACTTCTCCAGGATTCTACAGATCTCAACTGGATCATGAAGCACTTGAAGCTAAGATTGCAAGGATGTTCTCAAGCCGAAAAAAAACAACTGCTTACCTTAGTTCCACCGTCTTGGAGTATTAAGAAGACTCAAGATTTCTTCAATATTGGGAAACGCTTGGTCCAGGGAAGCCGCAAACGTCGTAAAGAAACCGACACAATCCTTCCTCCAATAAAACCAAAATCTGGATACAAAATTACCCAAGAAACCAAATCCAATATTCAAGATTTCTATTATCAAGATGATGTGTCAAGAGCCTGCCCAGGACAAAAGGATTTTCTGTCCATCAAGAACAAGGAAACAGGAAGACGAGAACACAAGCAGAAACGATATCTTCTAAGCAATCTCAGGGAGCTCTACCAAAATTTCAAGATTCAGTACCCGGATTCGAAAGTTGGGAAATCGTCATTCATGATGCTGCGGCCACGAGAATGCATCTCGCTAACCAGCAAGGGATACCACAACGTTTGCGTGTGCATTTACCATGAAAATGTGAAGCTGCTGTTCCATGCCATCAAGATTTCATCCATCAAGCCTTCAATTTCACAATTAGTCTGTGAAAGTGGAGGCAAGGATTGCTACTACAGACGATGTACAAAGTGTAAAGGATCTACAACAAACTTCAAAATAGCTTTAAGAGAAAACGAAGTCATCAGGAACAACACGTCAATTTCATACCGAAGATGGCTGACGACAGACGGAACTCAATACGTGACTGAGGAAAAAGAAACCGAAGACTTCTTGGACTTTGCAACTTCGGAACTGGAGAAGCTGTTGAAACATCACTACATCAGCAAAGCTCAGCATGAATTTCTTGTGGATCTTCGAAAGAATCTCAAGCCTGGTGAGCTCTTCATTTGGGGAGACTTTTCCGAAAACTACTCACCTGTAATCCAGAATGCTGTCCAGTCCGAATACTTCTCCCACAAACAGATCACTATTCACCCCTTCACAATCTACTGGGCCGTGAACGAAGTTGTATACAACATGAGCATATCTATTATCAGTGATTGCACCACTCATGACACAAATTCCTTCTACGCATTCCAGACTAAGCTCATACCAAGACTTGTTCGAGAGTTTGCTGCTGCCCAAATCAGAATTACCAAAATTCACTACGTTTCAGATGGATCTGCAGCTCAATACAAGAATCGCAAGAATTTCTGCAACTTATACCACCATCAGAACGACTTTGGAATTATAGCCGTATGGCACTATGGAGCAACTGCTCATATGAAGGGACCTCAAGATGCTCAAGGAGGAATTGCCAAACGTCGAGCAAGAATTGCATCTCTTCAAGGTATCAAAATTACAACCGCAGAAGAATTCTTCCTCTGGTGCAGTTCAAATATTGAGGGAATTGAATATATATTCGTCTCGGATTCCGAAGTTCAGAAGATTATTGAAGAAAAAGATTTGACAACCCGGTACGAGACCATCACAACCATTCCTGGAACTCAACAAGCTCACCGTGTTGAAATTGGATCGGGAAAAATTCACCTTTATGAAGTTTCTCGGGACACCACGGTGATGGCAACTAAAATAATGGAATCCGAAGTTGCTCAACCTCTGGTCATCATCGATGAATGTGCCGTCAGCGATTGGATTGCATGTGTCTACGAAAACCAGTGGTACGTGGCCATCATCGATGAAGTGGACCTTGCTGACCAAGAAGTAAAGGTGACTTTCTGGAAACAAAACACCTCAAAATTAAAACTTGGAACCTCTTATATTTCTGAAAACGCGTCCTGTTACATCAAAATTGGACAAATTCTCAAGAAGATCTTCCCATCAAGAGCATCAAGACGTGGAAGGACAATCAACATCTCACTGGAGGAGCAGGAAGAAGTAGACAGACTCTTTAGACAATTTCAGCGATGAATAAGGAAGTGGTGGCGAAGATGGACTTCGAATGGTGGTGTTGGTGACTGTTTCCCAAAGATATTTTTTAATAAAGTTATTTATTAAATCATATCATTAAATAGTTTTATAAACCTGTTGTAAAATAGGTTTATAAACCTATTTAATTCATTCAATTTTACGAAAATAAAA